CCGTCTCTATTATGCATTTAATTCGTTCATTAATTTGGCTAAGCAAATTAAAAAATTCTTTCAAATTTTCTATTCCATTTAACTAAAGTAATCATCCAGCTATTGAATAAGCCCCCTTGGTTGCAGTGATGATCTTTCGAATTCCCTTCCAATTTGTTCATATATACATTTGTCAAAAGAGGTGAGAGTGGAGATCCCACCTAAGTTTAAATATTTGCTCACTGAAAACTGTCACTGAAACTGTCACCGTCGACGAAACAGTATCTGCCGCTGTCACCATATGAGCCCCAGATATAAAATAGGTGGTCCTTTCTGTTAGATTGATCAGTCATGTAAATGACTCGTTTCGTATCCGTTCTGCCTCCAAGATATCCTCTTCTAGCTCCAATATCTCGAGCAGGGCGTTAACCGTCTTATCGCCTGAGATGTTTGTGTACATGGATAGTGCATCGAAATTTACCAACAGTTCTGGCCCCACCAGCCCAATGTTTTGTATTCTTTGAGAAAATTCATATGAATTCTTCACGATATTCGAGGGTCTGTCATTTTCTTGAGCTTCAAACAAATGAATTTCGCTAGCTAGTGTTGCTCCATACTTGTAGTTGACTCTTACTCTTAGTGGTTTTTCTTCCTTGTTTATCTTCGGTAGTCCGTAGGCTGTCGGTGGTGTTGCATCATTTTAAATTTAATTGTTCAGCATCCATCTGTCACACACCTCAACTAGATTTAGATAAATAAGTAATAAATTGTGATATTGAAAGGGTGATATGAGAATATAGGATAGTTGAATACCCCAGGACAGAAGGAGAGATACCACAACTACTTAGTAGGCAATTGGTTAAAGGATCAACTTTACTTGTCTCTTTGACGAGTTGTATTGCGGTGCTTAGAATGACAAAGCTACCTGACGATGCTGGCGAAACGTCTGGAAGGGTAACAAGTTTACGATCCGACCCTGGAAATTATCATGCATACTATGGACTCCGGACTAGGTGCTTTCCTCTAGGTCTTCCTACCAATATAACGAAGTTGCGAAAACAAGGTCAAATAACTTCTATACAACGAAAGGAGACCACGGCCATACAAAAGGCCACACCATCTTGGCCTTCATACATTCGATTACATCAGATAAGGTTTCTAAGAATTCCCTTTCTTGCTAGGAAAAGAGGCTAATGGGCTTATAGGTAAAATGAATGGAAACTTTCCAAATTAATGATAGTGAATGTGCATATCCTCACCTTGCAAGCTTCACAAACGTAGGCACCGTGATGAAATCCGGCTGCCAATTCACCGCAGACCTGGCACATCTGGCCCTCCATCTTATTCTGGTATTGGTAAAAAGCAGACTCAGGACTAGTGAAGCCAGGAAGGGGTACAGAGTCTCCAGGAGCTGACTCAATGCTTGAGGCTGGAGTCTGTACTCGGTCAATTGCTAGCGGTCCTGGAATATGAGGGAGTACATTTCGATGAGAAGAGGACCCGATTGATGTTGACAGTAAAAGTGTGGACTGCCCAGCAGCCGAGTTGGGCCGACTAGATGTTGTCAGGTGATGGATGATGCTCTGCGTATTCCCATGACCAGACAAGGTATCGTAGTCAGTTGCTAGTGGACCAGGAGGCTGAGTTGGATCAGCACAATTACATGGTACCAGACTCGAAATAGACAAACCAAGAGACGGTGACGATAATAAGGCTCCGTTAGAGATTGATTCATGCCTAGACGTGGAACAGCTAGTTGAGTGGCAATGCTGCTGAGCTGACAACTTAATCCCAGGCGAAGGTATTGGCGGCGATAATGCTGCTTGGCTTATTCCTTGATATGATTTGGAAGTATTGACTATCTGAGATTGAGTAGAAGATAATATTGATACATGGTTTATAGTGGGGAGATGTTGTAGTGGCAATGGTGGAGGTGATCGAAGGGGTGGAGGCGAATTTAGACTAACTGAGGGAAGCCGTCGTGAAGATTGCAGTGTCGGCGAGAGAAGTGTATCTTGCAAGACAGATGTGTCGACTGCTGAAGAGGAAGGTGGAAAGAAAGAACTGGAATGGAGGACGTTGCCAGATGAAGGAATGTAGTCTATGGTCGAGGTAGGGTCTAGAGTGGTCACCAGCTTTGGTATATCTCCTTGAGGATAGGCGCATGCTGAGACCGATGCAGCTATTGAAGGCAGCAACGTGCCCTCGGAACCTAGACATGTGTCTGTAAAAAGGTCATTCCGCTTGTCTGCTGAGACTGCCAAGTTGGATCGAGTCGTCGAATAAGCTTCGGCTAAATACACAGATCTCTGTGGTGCCTTCGTGGAACAGGTCGATGGGGACAGGTAATGCAGGTTTTGGGAATGTTGC